GTGTCAATTATATCGTCAGTTTTATCGTTATCGCAAATTTCCAAATGTATATCGTGATAAATATTTTTGGCCATATTGCTCTGCCCTAATTTGGTGTATAGCTGCGTCACACATATTTACACCAGATATGCACCACTGAACAAAACCTAACCCATCTATCCTTTAGAAAAGAGACAGGAAAAACTGCCTATTTTGTATGCATGTCCTTTAACTGATTATCACTTTTAATATATGTAGCATGATGATATACCAAGTATCTAATCCAAAGTATACAGCTAAATGTCAGAACAACAAACCATATACCGAGCAGACACAACATAAATCTCTGGAGAATGCAAAGGCTGTGGATGCAGGAAAGAGAACATAAGAAAGGAAAGAAGCAGAGGTATTTCAATAAATTATCACTTACTTGCAGTGTTTGTGAGGCCCGCTGAGTGTCTCGATGACAAAGCATTCGCCACCATTTAGGCAGTAGGCCAAGTCCTTCTCATGACAGGGCTTGAAATGCTCCGAGTGTAGCGGAGGGACAGTTGGAGATGCTGCAGAACAAACAAAGAAAATCTTGTCAGTCACAAGCACGGTGTCCTTCCTTCACCCTGTAGGGAGTTTTTCAAAAGCTCAGTTTTTACCCAACTAAAACAAGAATAAGCTAAGTTTACTAAAATACCTGTGTACACGTAGAGAGGACCTCATTTTCACTCGTCGTGTCTTCAAATAAATCATGGTTTTATCTTAAACTACAGTAGAAAAATACCAGAATTGTTTGGCGCCAGCCAAGGATGCATAAGAACAGTTTGTCTGTGCCTACAGACAAACCTGACGCACATTGTGGATAATACCAACACGCGATTGTTTGTTTAGACCCTGCGATGTCACAAGCAAAAGATGGATGGGGGACAGGTAATAATCTGTCCCTTTATGATTAATACTCTATAGTTGCAGTAATGCTGTTGGAGAACATCAGTTCTTCCAGTGATTTATCACAACTTGCGTGAGTGATTGTGCATAGTACACAAATCTAAGGGAATCTGCTCAATGTATATTAATAAATGACCTCATAATTGAAATTCACTAGCTGGGCCGACGTCCTCATCTTAGGTTTGACAGCGTTTTAGTAGGTAAAAGTGAATGCTTTGACATGAATTGAGCTGCGGTTTGGGGAAGCCTCGGAGGGGACTGGCGATGGCTCCCGGGCCTGGCAGATCCCCATGCACTACATAGAAATGAAGGAGTTAAAGAATTGAGAACAAGGAGGGAGGGAGGGAGGGTGGGGTACGTAAACGAGAATGAACAGCTTGCAGAACAGGGGGAACCTATATAGACGACAACCAGAAGGAGCGTGTTTGGAGGCGTGGTCCTGCTCCTGAAATTCCGATACATAATCTCCAGTTAATAACCAACAGTTTCTCAAGAGAAAGAAAAATGCACTATCAATGAAATAATGGTGTTATGGGCATTTTATTGCTGGTTGAGGATAAGATAAGAAAATGTTGAGATTTCACAGTGTTCATGGCCGTCATCCATCAGCATTGATTAGAAAGCCTGTGATGGAGCCGATCAAGCTTTCAGATGCAGGGAGAAATCTGATCTGCAGATTTATTAATACCAGACTGGGCTCCTGACTCTTTCCTTTGTGCTTACAAATGAAAAATGAGTCTGCTAAGGGCTCTCATTAGCAGAATCCCAGCTATGTTTTTCTTAAAGTAGCTAGATGAACTGTGATGAACCAGAACACTATGCTTCAGTGATTAAAATCAGTTTTACTTAGAGGATGCTGTTACTTCCACAAGAGTACTGATCACTGTATTAGGTTGTTCTTTAATGATGTGTGGAAGATACATCCAAGTGAACTGAAGATTTTTCAATCAAGAAATGAGGAGAGGGGAGGACTGTGGAGGTGAGTTAGAGGTGAGTTATTTTTGTATGGGCTCAGATCCCTTAATCAGCAGTATGAGGCACCACAGGATTGAGTGGTGGGTTGGCTTATGAGACGCTAGGTGCTGATCAGACCCCAGGGATATTCTGCAACCACTGATAATTAGCAGATGAGAGACTGGTTTAAAGTTAGTAGTTGAACCGGGAACTAAGGAAGGGGTAAACTGAGGTTTCCAGTAGCTTGGACAACATGGCGATATGCGCTCAACGCCGGATCCAAGGCTGACATGAAAAGCACGTACAGAGTAATGAATTATTTACAAATAAATAAATATTTCTGAATATCTGTTTCAGTTTAAATACCGACCTGTTATTACCTGGGTTGACAGGATTTGAAGTTTGCTATTTGAAGTTTGGATACACTACAATTTAGTTTAGAGTTGTCTAAACCAAATTGTAGTGTATCCAATTTAACAACTACCCAGCTTTGGGTAAAATATTAAAAAAATTACCATGACTGGTTTCAGATGGTTTTCAAATTTTAGCTTTAAAAATCCACACATAATGATGATAGCGATTAGTATTAAGAGAAAAGAACAAAAAGGGGGAAAAGGTTTCAGCTTGAGCTTGAAAACAATTGGTGCTACGGACAAAAGTTAGAGTTCTCTAATCATCCAGGGAGGTCATCTTAACCCTGACAGTGAAGCTGTCACTTCCTCTAAAACAACAAAACAATGCAAACAGTGGTTGTACCCAGTGGCATGACCAAAGCCTTAACCAATACCAGTTAGTGTCGAAGTTTCTGGCTCTGTGGCTAAGGTCTAAAAAAGTCACCAGTGTCATTTGAATAATCTGGGAAATATAATAAACACATATTGTTCAATCATGGCAACTAACATTAAGTTTCAACAGCAGGTTTAGGGAGAGAGAACATATGCAGGAAAGAAAGCAGCATTATTTTGCTGTTCGCATCCTGTGGATTCACAAGGTAACGGTGAGAATAAATTCATTCTGAAAACAGCATTTCAACTAGACAAGGACAAATAGAGAGATTAAGAGAAGCCGTGATTGTAAGAGAATTCACAATAACTATCTCCTTGGGTATGTCCAGACATAGATGCCTCGCCTTCCAGTGGAGCACATCCTGCCCACAGAGACATTAAAACAAAGGCCTGAACCACAAAACGGTGCTGAATCTTTCTTTGCACTCAGTCTGCAACACTAGATCTTTTTTGAAACAAAGGATTTCCTTCCACACACGATTTCATGCTTGGACTGGGTTGTGCTGTTTTGTTAGTCTTTGCGATAAGTGACAGAAGCGCCATTTGTCATCGTCTCCCTTTGTTTTTTTTGTTGACAGAGTTGTCACAATGCACTGTAGGTTGTTTAGCTTAACACTCGTCACCTGTCAGCTCAGACACTGTATGCACTCAAAGAATTGTATCATTCTAAAGAATGCCAGAGTAGACTGAAAACAGTAATTTCAGTCTGCTGGAAATATCAATGCAAGTTTAAAAACATAGCCCGCAGACATCAGGCGTCAATCACTACAGAAGAAAACAGTCCAATTTACTCCACTATGATGTGAAGAGAAGGTTGGAGAGGCCCCGAAAGGATCAATAAACCATTGGGTGCTGGATAACACAACCCTCTACTTCAACTCGTCTTTTCCTTCCTTTGTCTCCTTCTCTCCTTCTCTCCTTCTCGCTGATTACAAGCAAGAAAATGAGGAAGGAATAAGAAAGCTGCTGATTTCACCTCTGCATCAAGGCGCTGCTTGATTGTGGAGTAGAGGAAGCTGTAGCCATTTATGTAATAGTTACAGAATTAATGATGGAAAAAAGAGCAATCAGGGTCCTTTCTGAACTTCTAACTATGACACGGATGTCTTCAGTAGACACTTCAAGATGAGAAGAGATTAGCTAGAAGGATATCAAACCACCAGTAAGGGCAGGTGATGCAGTATTCATGATTTCATTTTTGTTCTACGACTTTGGGATTCCAGATCAACAGGGGGGGGACATATACTGAAGGAATTTCAGAAGTTCAGCTTGTCTACTTCAAATAATACTACTAATTCTAATATTGCTACTTTAACACTATAAATTTCATCACCATGTATGTTTTATGCAAAGTAAGACATTGCTGCTACAGAGATTTGTAGCCATATTCGTAAAACAAAATGCTCCCAGTGATGAAACTCTAAGAAAAGTCTAAGAATTATGAATCCTTCAAAAAATTCCCCCTACACTTAAGGCTAGACTTTGTTAACAGTAATACCAGCTCAGAACAGGAAGTAGAATTCTTAAGAGAGTAAAGAGTTTAAGCAGAGGAGAGAAACTGTTAAGACCTCCTGCTGTTGCATTTTAATCCCCAGTCTATCCCTTTGGAGTAATATTTAAGTGTGGTTGAGCTGGAGAGTAGCATCTTTGTACATAATCAAAAAATGATCCTATATAAAAGTGGAGGGGCAATAGAGTAAAGAGTCAGACTTTGGAATTTTGTGCCCAGGTGTTGTTATTTTTCCTGTACGGATCTTGTACTTTCATTCACATCTTTTTACTCAGAATAACTTTATGTTAGGAGGCAAGCTTATTCTATTAGCTTCACTTATATCGTCTTCACCTAAGTCTCTAAGGCGATCCTGCACATTAAACATTATGCTAAATCACGATGCACAACCATCAGCAGTGAGTAAAATCTCTCTCCCAAGCCATTTTCCCTTTTTTGTTTATTTGTTGTGTATTCTATATAAGTTTGGCACAGGTAGGATAATTTCTCATACTTGAACCACCATTCCCTCTGTCTTTTAACAGCAAGTGCTGACGTAGGCTAAAAATAGGCCCTTGGGTATGTGGTCAGCAGCCACTTATTAAGTAGTTCAAATATTTCCCTTCAAAATGAGAAACGATGAGAGGGCACTTTCAGGACATAAGCACCACTATTAGCCCTAAAATCCCTTCAATATGGATGTGTTGGACTCCAATCCAAATTAAATTCCTTCCTTTTTATATTCATAAGGTAATGGTCAAACAAAGTTATGTTTGCAGACCTCATTTACAGCTCTTTTTCCTCACTACTGTTATAGAAAACATGCCATGCCATATTGGATAGTTCATTTTTTGTGTGACATGCAAAGACATGTAAAACAGAGCTACATACCAAACCATAAATGAAAGAAAGAAACGCAGACGTTCTCCTCATTGTTACAATAAATTTGAATAAATTCATATATAATATTGCTTAGTGCAGGCGGTTCAGTCGGTTAAATTGTCAACAATTCTGCAGTCTAGACAGAACAGAGCATCTCCAAAGTGTTGCAAATGAAAACACAAATTCTCTCTTTGCTGCTGTTGCAAAACTTTTCTGAATGCATTATCTGAAAAAGAGAAATGCCAGCTATACAAAAATCTGCTTAAGCTATATTCAAGTCATAATTTATCAGGCACTTACAGTTATCAACAAAGCACTGATTAGGGAATAATCTGTGTTATCTTTGTAATGTGATGTGGTGAGCATGCATTGCTAGTGAAGGCAGTAGTTATATAACCATATATAACTGTCTGAATGCACCCGGGGCAATCTTTCTCGACCTATATTATGGTTAGCATTAGTTAGCTGATATGTAACATTCTTTGGCAATATTTAATCACTCTTGACAGTG